CTCTCTCTCTCTCTCTCTCTCTCTCTCTCTCTCTCTCTGGAGAGGGGTACTAGGGATTTAACCCAGGAGTACTTTACCACTGAGCTACATCCCCAGTCCTCTTTTAAATTTTCTTTTTTTTTTAATATGTATTTTTTAGTTGTAGGTGGACACAATACCTTTATTTTAATTTTTATGTGGTGCTAAGGATCGAACCCAGTGCCTCATGCACGCCAGGCAAGTGTTCTACCCCTGAGCCACAGCCTCAGCCCCTTAAATTTTCTTTTTTGAGACAGGATGTTGCTAAGTTACAGAAGGCCTCTCTAATTTGCTGAGGCTGGCCCCAAACTTGCAATCCTCCTGTCTTGGCCTCCTGAATCATTGGGATTATAGGCATGCACCATTGTACCCAGCTTGGCTAGTTTCTTTTATTGCTCTCACTCTTTTTAGGTCTAGGGTTTTATTTGTTGCATATTTTGAAACTTTAAGCCAAGTATTCTAAAAACCTGCTACAATTCTTTATAGAGCTTACAGAGGCCAAGCCTGAAAGAGGAGAGGTAATGGCTTTTCAGAATTACCTGGAGAGGCAAACAGTTGGCCTTAGGTCTCCAGGACAGAAGTCTGATTCTAAACTTTTTCATCCACCTCTGGAGATACCCAGAACCCTCCTGAGACAGAAAAATCTCCTGTTTCAAAAAAACACTTTCAAGGTGTGATTTATCTGTCAAATCTCAATTAGAACAAGGGTCTTCTCAAATCTCATTTCATTTYACATTTTGAACCTACCATGATATTTATTATTTTAGACAAAATGAATATGCATAGAGTCTAGTTTTTCTATCTACACTCCAGTGGACCATTTTGTACTCATCTCACCTTGAAACAAATATTCTAACCCTCAAGCAAGCACTTAAGTGTTGACCCTGGAAGTATTCAATGCCTCCACATGCTGCCTTTTGGATGGACACACTACTTCTATCTGGGCCCTAGGTAGAATTCAAACTTTCGTCATTGAGAAAAAATATAACAAAAAAAAATAAAAGAAAAGAAACCCTTGTTGTATTTTATTTCCTACATCATATACACCCCTTAACATATTTCTTCCTTAACAACCATTTTTTAAATGCTCTTTCATTGTAGGAGTGATGAGTCAGTTAGAATTGTTGTGCTTGCTCCACCTATTAGAATAAGCCAAATGATTTGGGATGGGTTGATCTTGGGTTCACAGGGAGTAATTTGTCTAGGGAGTGGAGGGRATGGACTACAATTTGCATGACCACACAGGACAGATGTTTATTCATAAAGGTTACCTCAAGTGACACAAGCAATTTCTTGGTTGGACTGTATTAAAAGTCAGCCAAGTGTCCACCCAATAGGCAACTCAGTTCCAGAAGAAATTATGACTGGGATGACAAGAAGCATGAGAGACCAGGATTGGGATATGTGGACAGGCTTGAGTAAGAGGTCTGGAGCCACACTAAAGGGTGTGTGCTCAATGATAGGATGGAGAGGTTGGGCAGAATTACAGAGGGAGGGGACAAACCAGCACTTGGATACTGCTTACTTCTCTGAATCTGAGCTTTTTTTGTTATTGCTATGATTTGTTTCCTCACTAGAAGAACTGCATTTGCAATTTAATATAAATCTAGAGACTCAGTCACTTTTACAGACCCCACTGCTAATGGACAGAGCCAACATTGAGCAAAATTGCTACATGGAGAATGCTAGAACCTTCCAGCCTTTTTCTTCCTTCCATTGGGACCCTTTCATTTGGGTCTTTCTCTCAACCACATCTTATTTTCTACCTTCAGTGGTTTTCAAAGTGTGGTCATTGGACCAGCAGCATCAGTATCACCTAAGCACTGGTCAGAAATGCTAATTCTCAGGCTCCACCCAAACTGATCAGTGAAGAAACTCTGTGATGGGACGACGGGATCAGCAATCTATTTTTCTCAAACCTTCCCTGATTCTGATGCACACTAAAATCTGAGAACTGCTGCTTTAAATGATTTTCAAGATAACTTAAGATTGAGAGCATGCACCTTTTAGGAGAGGACTTATAAAGAAGATAAGCCACTCAAGTGAAAATGGAAATTTTCTAGTAATGGAATTTCCTTTCACATAAAGAAAGACAGTGAGAGATTCAAGGCCACTATATTCATTCAGACTTTCACCATCCCTTCCCTTTCATCTCACCTATATCAATCTTCTCTCCATATTGCCACTAGAGATGTATGCTCAGTGGGAAACCCTGACCCTATCAAATCCCAATTTAAAACCCTTCAGTCACTGCTCCCTACCCATAGAAAGGCCCAAGCCCCTGGCACACAACCCAAAGTCCTTCATTATCTGCTGCTGGGCCACTTCCCTGACCTTGTTTCCTTCTGTACCTTCCCACATACTCTGTCACATTTTTGCTATCTGCAGGAAGCTTACACTTCCTCATACCTCTGACATTGGGCTTGACCATGTGATTGACCTTGGCCAACGGCATGAGAGCTGAAGGGACAGCTGCCACTTCTGAGCAGACTTGAAGTGTCATAGTTTTGTTCTGTCACTTTCTCTCTTTTCCTTTGCCATAATGAGATTAGCATTGTCCCAGAGAGAGGCTGTTTTATAAGTTCAGTGGGTCCCTAAATAAAAATAGATGAGGACAGAACTAAAATTGACCTACTCTGGACATGCGGATCTTTGGGGGTTATTTGTTCTTTAGCCTAAGCTGACCATGGATATTTTGGTCATTCCTCTTTCTGGATGTCTTCTCTCTTCTACTCTATCCTTTCCAATTCCACTGCAGCCCTAGTTTCACAAAAGACTTGCTCATCATTTGACACTCAGTACCTCTCAATCAGGACTTTATCTTGCCTAGGTGTAACTGATTACTCTCACTTTTAAAACCTCCTTTAGATGCTACAGATCAGTAACTATATCCCCAGAACTAGGCTTCCCAWCTATTAACACTATACTTAGGATCCACTAAAATAAGAATAAATGAGAGTCTTCACTTGACAGAGCAAAGAGATTTTTGGCTCTAAGAAATGAAGCATTTTGTTCAAGTTTCCCAGCCTCAGTCAGAGCCTGAATTTTCACAGGTGGGGTCTGGCTCTGAACTTGGTAGTCTTGTCCTATGCCATATACCTCTCTCCATCCCCAGCAGTGAGTTTTCAGAGTAGAGTAAAAGTCTCCTAGTAAACAATTGGAAAAAAAAAAMAAAAACCTGTTACATTAATTTGAGACTTATAAGTTTGCATCTCTCTAGAAGTGAGTTTCTGATCTCCTGACCTCTCTTTCTCTAAGTTGATGTATATATTCTAAGACACATAGAAATGACACTGTACAAGAAATGGAGCATTTTGTCTACAACCAGGTCCCAGGCTGCATGGTTAGGGAAGTGTGAAAAGGCAGGCAGATGCAAATGCCATCACCCTAAAGAACCTTTAGGATGGTCCTTATGGGTTTGTCACAGGGTAGAACTCCAAGGAAGTCTGCTACATATTGATATTTTAGTTTTTTAAAAAATGAAGGGGGTCAAATATTTAATCTTCAGATTAAACAAGGAAAGGAAAATGAAACCATGGCAAAAGACTGGACTAGACCCCCCAGGTCAGATGCAGGATTAAATGCCTGAGAGTAACAACTGCAATTTCAAGTTTCTAAGAGATGCTGGCATTTTGTTGTGTGGTGCTTTTCTTTTGTTATTCTTTCACTCATTTTAACTCTACTTATTTGTTCGGGGAACATTAGGAAGTACAAAAACCTAAAAATATCYCACCCCTAATCAGCCATACTAATGAAATATGAGCATTTAACAAACTATAGGGATTTCTTTTTTCATATAATATTCATACTAATTTTTTCAAGGGTTACAAAGCTTTGGTTTCTAGTTGGAGGCCATTTGTCTCAACATCACAATGGAGGAGGGTTTTTTTTTTTTTAATATTCTCCTCCAAAGGATATATTACCATTAAATGATATCATCAGTAACACTAATAATAGCATTTTTTTCCTTTCAAGTATAGAAAGCTACTCAGAGATCTAAATGGTTGTTGGGCCAGTTTGGACACATCTGATTTACTTTTTAAAAGTCTATCCACTTCATACAATAAAGCACTCAGTAAATGCTAAGTGCTGGCTCTCTGCTCTGTTTTTCAGACATTGGCTCCTATAATCCTCAAAGCAAGTTTAATCCGTATCGCCACTTTATAAATTAGGAGAGCGAGGCACAGGACATAAAGGGGAGAGGGAAAGAGTGAAAAGGAGAGGGAGGAAGAGAGAGAGGTGGGCAGGGGCCAGTAGCTGCATAACACTATAGTTAATGATTCACTCATAGCCCTCAGGCAGCTCCTTTCAGTAGGGGTTGCACCAGAGCGCGCATACACACACACACACACACACACACACACACACACACACACACACACACGTACGTCTCATCTCCAACTCTCTTCATCTCAGCCAGAGGCGGTGTCCGGCAAATTGCTTGGCAACGCGCGCAGGAAACTCCATCCAAAGCCCCGGGTCCAGGAGGCCTCTGGGCGCTGTCCAGCGGGCAGCGTGCCTGAGGGGCCAGGCTGGGGTCCAGTCTCCCGACACCCCGAAGGTGAGGCGGAACGCCAAGGCTGGGATTCCAGGCCTGGGGTGGGGGGTTTGGGGGAAGAGGCACCGGGCCCAGAGACACCTGTTGTCGCCTCCCCACTCTGGCCAGTGAAGCTGTCCTGGACGACCTGGGTCTCCAGGGAAGACACCTTGGCAACAAGTGCTGTGTAGGCTGCGGAGGTCACAGGGGTCTTCCCCCTACGCCCGCCCCCGCCCACCTCAGGCCGACTCACCTAAGCCCCTCTCACTCCCGGACGCCCGCGGCTTGGGGAAGTATCTCGCCTGGCGGTGGCTCAAGGCACTCGGGATGTGCGGAGCAGCACTGCGGCGCTAGGACCTCGCGGCCGGCCGCCCCCTGCCCGCTCCACCTGCGGGGCCCCTTTCTCTCGAGCGCCGGTGCCGCCGCCGCGGGGAGGGGCAGTTACCTGAGACGCCGTCCGCAGGGTCTCGAACGTCGATTGACGGGCGGCCGCCGCAGAGCCGGCTAGTGGGGTCYAGGGACCCAGCCAGCCGCAAGGCTCTCGCCACAGTCGCTCCTCGCCGCAGCGCAGCCGCCGGCTCCCGACTCTCGGGCGTGCTGGGCGCCCGCCGGCTCCCGGCGCCGCTCCCGCCGCTCCTGATTGGTTGGGGCGCGCGCCCAAGCTGCGCCGTGATTGGGCAGTTCGGGAGCTGGGCGGTGGGACCCACCGGGCACCGCTGGGATCTGCTCCGCGAGCCTCCTGCGCTGCCGCCTCACGTTCCTACCGCGCCTCGGGGCCCGGGTCCGGACGCTGAAAATCGGTTCTTGTCCCCTTTGGGCCGAACGGGGCGGCTAAACACCGAAAAGTGTCGCTTCGAATAAAATAGAAGTGGAGGGCAAATGGTATCGCCTTGGAGGACCACCCACACCCCTGGGAGGCTGGGGGATTGGGGACTTCCAAGGTACCAGTATTATTGGTCCCCTGGCCTCATTCCCACKTGAGGCTTGACTTCATGTTCATTTTTGATAATTTTTACCGGGCATAGGGCGTAGGTTTCAGGGCAGTAGCTTGTAAACAGTGGGCGCCAAATAGTGTTTGTGGACTTGGATTAAAATCTACACACAATCTCTATGTATTCCTACTGGAGCTCGGAAAAGGGAAGCCACTTGTCCAAAGTCCTAACCATGTCGACAAATTATTAAGAACACTGATAGGTGCTGTGGGGAGAAGTAAAAGAGCAAGATGGTGAGATTTTCATTTACAAGGAATTTAATAGCTAGGGAAATTAAGCTGATTTATAATAATTACCTATAATATTTTCGTGGTGCATATTATTTGATAGGAACCGTTCCAAGTGTATATTATTATAAGAAATACAGGAAACAGCTTTCTAAGGACGTCCTTATGTACTGTGAGGCATGTAGACAAGTGACTCTAGGTATGAGCATAGAGAGATTTTCATCTGAAAGACAACAACAGTCACTCCATACTGTTTGGAGAGGCACAACTGGTCCAGAAAGGGAGTGTGAGGGATGATCATTGTTCCCATCTTCCAGTCTCTTCCCCTGAAAATCCCAAGATTTTCACCCATTTGAACTGAATCCTTCTAAAAAATAAATCCAACTGCTATGTCACCAGGCCTTTGTTCTGCCACTCTGAAAGGCATCCCCTCTGAACACCTATAGGCAATAAGTAGAAGTAAATAACACAGCATATGAAATCATTTTTCTGCAGGTATTTCTTCCTAGTTCTATTCTATGCTAATAGAACTTGTGAGTGGAAATTTTGGATTGGTAGACAAGCACTTAAAGACTCAAGTGAAAACCAGCTTGCCCTAGTCTGAAAGTCTTGTCTTCTACCTTAGGATGAGCTTAAAAGTCATGTACTTTGAGCAGCCCAAGACCCTCGAATTCCATTTTCTCTAGTTTATATCAATGAACAAACAATTGATTCATTTGTATTGAAAAGATGAATCAACTAGGCAATGGGTTGAGCCTCACYTAGTTGGAACACCAGAGCATAACAAGGTGGAGGCCATATGAGGACAATCCTTTCACATGCATCCCTCTGCCAGTGTCAGAAGCACAAGAAGACATCAAACCAGGAATACATAATTCTAGTTGCTGACTTTTCATAGTTGTGAGGTTTTCTTTTTTTCTTTCTTTTTACTGGGGATTGAACCCAGGGTCACTCTACATTTGTATCCCCAGCCCTTTTTTATTTTTTACTAGAGACAGGGTCTTACTAAGTTGTCCAGGCTGCCCTGGACTTKTGGATCCTCCTTCCTCAGCCTTCCAAGTAGCTGGGATTACAGGTGTATGCCTTTGCTCCTGGACTCATTGCTGTGGCTTTTGCTAAAGCAGAAGTTCCATTTGAATTGATCATGCCATCATTCCAAAGGAGAACAGACAGCTTGTTTCAGCCAGAGAATGAGACTGCCCCATAACGATGTGGCACACTGCTCAATTCAGTTGCATTGCACTAAGCTCAGTCCAAGGATGATGAGTGAAAGAACAACGTGGATTCCCAAGACAAACCTCTGGAATGTTCGTATGGGCAGGAACTGCATGTATTTAGGTCTATCCACTGCCTTATCTAAAAAAAAATTCTTTATTTAGTTCTGCCTCCTGCATYACATTTCTTCTTTTGATAACCCCTAACCCAAGCCTTCACTAACTATCCCAGGCACTGAGCAACAGMATTCTAGAGATCTGCTCTTATATGACCATCTTTTCAACTACAGAACTGTGCATGACTTAGCAATGAATCCCCAACACCTTGGCTAGTAAGTGGAACACAGCAGGTACTCAGTAAACATGAATTATAGACTAAAATTCTTGGCAGGCTAATAAGGTAACCTGACAGGCACTAAGGAGACTAGGCCTACACCCCTATCCCAGTCTTCAACAGGACATCCACCAGTTCCAGAGTAGATGGATGTTTGATGTAGATGATCATCCATTCAATCCAACTATGAATACTATGAGTAGGTTGTTCCTGTATGTAAAACACATTCAAGAAAAGAGAAAAATGAGATATTTCTTATATGTACACAAGATGAGATGCTATAGSTGATTCACAAAACTGTTTGGCAGTTCCTCAAAAAGTTAAACTTAGAGTTATCATATAACCCAGAAATTCTGACTCCTAGGTATATATCCAAGAGAAGTGGAAACATATGCCCACTCAAAAACTTGTACATGAATATTTATTACATAGTTACTCATAATAGCTGAAAAATGCAAAGAAAAAAAAACATGAACTGATATAGTGGAATATTACTCAGTCATTGTTTTAGTCAGCTTTTTCACTGTTGTGACTAAAGGACCTGTGGAGGAGGAAGAGTTTATTTGAGGGCTCACGGTTTCAGAGGTCTTAATCCGTTGAAGGCTGGCTCCATTTCTCCGGGCCTGAGTTGAGGATAAACATCCTGGCAGAGAGTATGGCAGAGAGAAGCAGCTCACATCATTGGTGATCAAGAAGCACAGAGAGATTGTTACTTTCGATACAAAACACCAGAGTCACGCCTCCATTCCCACCTCCTCCAGCCACACCCTACCACTTAAATTACCACTCAGTTAATTCCTATCAGGGGATTAAATCATTGATTGGGTTAAGCCTCTTAACCCAATCCTTTCTCCTCTGAACCTTCTTGCACTGCCTCACACATGAGCTTTTGGGGGACACCTCACATCCAAACCATGCGGGTCATAAAACTAATAAAGTTCTGATTGATACATGCTACCATGTAGATGAATCTTAAAAGCATTATGCTAAGTAAAAGAAGCCAGAAACAAAAGGACACGATGTGTATATAATTCCTTTTATCTGAAATGTCTAGAATAGGTAAATCCATAAAGACAGAAAGCCAGTTAGTGATTTGCTAGGGATAGGAAAAAGGCAAAGTAACTGCTTAATGGAGAGTAACTGCTTAATGGAAACAAGGTTTCCTTTTGAGGTGATGAAAATGTTCTGTAAGTAGAGATAATGGTTATAGTTACATAAATTTGTGAATATACTAAAAACCACTGGATTGGAAAAAACAAAATCTACACAGCCTACAACCTGAGAGTGTAGGAACTGTTACTGGGAAAGTGCTAATTAAGTACTTAGGTATGATAGCTAAAAGTATAGAAGGTGGAGGAATTTTGCTTCATCTGTGAAAAGCAGTTAAATATGTCTCTTTCACTCTCATACTTGCACCTTCAGCAGTTCAGAGTAGATTTACTCCCTAGATCTGTGTTGTTCAACGGAACAGTCTATGGTGATGGCAATATTCTTCATCTGAGGTATTCAATATGGCAGCTACTAGACACGTGTGGCTATTGGACATTGAAATATGGTTAGTTGCAAAACTTGAAAAAAATGAATTTAAAGTTGTATCAAAATTTGAATAGCCACATGTGGCTAATGGCCATCAATAATGGCACTGTAGTGTTAGCTGTTCTAGAGGACTAGGGCTACTTTAACTGGCAAATTGGAAAAACATTAGGGGGCATGGGAGAGGGAGAACCTGTGTTTTTATGTCCCACAGCCCAGCGAACTCTGTATCTACTAGAAATCCTTCAGTAAGAGGTTACCACACCCATCCTTCTCCTTTCTATGAATTCTTAATGAATGTCAGTCTATAATTCAGGGTTTAGTTTTGTCTTTATGACAAAGTTCTGTCACTCCACAAATATTTATGGCATAGTCACTTTGTGGGACATGCTAAGATTATAGATAATGTCAGCCCAAATCAAAAAGGTTGGTATTGAGGTTAGGAGGTAGATGGGACAGAAGAAATCCCTTACAAGGACCTAATTCCTTCCCTCCAACACCCACCACCCATTATTCTTCCAAGTGGGAAATCTTGCTGCTAAGATGCTGAAGTAATGTTGAAGAATCCATATTTAGATTTCTTATTTCCAACTCAAGACTTGTAACATCCTTAAGTCTTTCAATACATCTTTGGCTCGTGTTGGTATTTCCCTTCTGTGAACTTTTGTTGAACTTGAAACTAATATAATATAGAATGCAATGATTTTCTAGATTTTCTAGGTATTCTCCATAACATGGTATTCCCATGGCAGGGTTCATTTGTTACATAAATTCTGCTTGAGCTCTTACTTAGTGCCACAACAGTCCTGGGTGCTGTGGATAGAAGGAATGAAGACATTTACTGGGCAACTTGAAACATGGTAAGGAGACACAAAAATAGCACTGAGTGAGTTAATTAAGTGTTTAGGACAGTTCTTGGTGTGTGGTGATGAGAATTGTTAGATGCTATAAAATCATTATTTTGAACTCATTTGAAATTCAAAATCAAGTTTGGGGACTGCAGGTATAGTTAAATGTATAGCACTTGCCAGCATGTGCAAGGCTCTGGATTCAATTCCCAGCACCACCATAACAACWAAAACCATAGTAATGATATTAAAACCAAGTCCACTCTGAAAAATCCCAATTAAATGTTATTTCGAGGAGTCCGTATTTTAGTGATTGAAAATAAACAAATAAAAAAGAGCAGGGAGATAAAAGCCAGCTTTGTGCCTTTGCCTGAAATTCCTTTATGCTCTATAAAACCACAAAGTATTTTTCCACTCCCCTGCAGCCAGGATTCATTCTGACACACTCC